GCTGGTCACATTTGGTCCACCGTAATTGGCAGTTGTTTTATGATTGCATTTTGCTATAGAGGAATATTTGATACATGCTAGTTCTGTTCACAAATGCAGTATCTTCTCTCAGAAAACTTCACATACCACTGGAACACTGGGGACAAAGACAAGTTGTCACACTCACCAAAGCAAATGTCAGGAAAATGAAAGCAGCGTTGGCCCATCCTTTCAGAGGGAGCATGTGGCTGGCAGTTCTCGTTCACTCAGCAAGGTGTGCCCTGAGACAAGCCTTGATTCTTGAAGGCCTTTCAACAGCTGCCTTTCCTGAGAGAATGCATCAGAGTTGGGTCTGCCAGCCCTGCCAATAGTACTCCTGTCAACTCCTGATGGAGGCATTTCACTCCTAAATGTGGTTTTCTTCATTCCTTGTGTGTTGATGTCAGCACTGTGTCAGTACAGCTCAAGAGCCTTCAAAGAACTTTTTAGCCTGACTCATGTGCAGACACTATGATATCAAGCAGCTGATAAAATTTCAAATTTTGGCTCATAGAAATGTGTTCTTTTTGAAATGTCATGAAAAATATAATCAGTTCATAAATTGTTTCAAAATTGTATTGCCAAAAAAAAAAAAAAAATACCATGAGGATTATTTCTTTCTTCCCTACTTATTATATGTATGTTGTGACTGAGTTATCTTTTTCTCCTCTTTTATTTCATAGACTGAAACCAAATACAGATATGAAAAGAAGAATGTGATTAACATAGTCCCTCACTAACTTCTCATCTTACTCTCTCATTATTTTATGTGATTAGAAAGACTCTCATGGGAGAAAAAAAAAAAGTAGGGAAGCTCATTATTTTTCATATGTGAATATTTCTTTAAAATCTATTATTATGAGGCACAGAACCTCAAAGACAAAGAAGAGACCATTTATTTTCCTGCAGTTATAAATTGCAAGTAGTAGAATTTGAAGCTATGACCATCTGATCAAAAGCTTAAGAAGGCCTGGTTTCTATCATATCTTGAATGATTTTAAAGTTTATTTGAAGATAACTGATTTGTTTTATTATTTAGAATCATATACTCTACTGCCGGGGGTGGAGGTCTCAAAAATTTATTTATGCAGCAGAGTGAGAATAAGAACTCAAGACCCCTTCAAGTCAAACTGCTTGAAAACGACTTCAGAATCCTTGCCAAACAAAGTCAGAATATCTTTTCCCTGCTTTGCTTATTTTTGTGGAATTTATTTTTATGCATCAGGATATAATAAACAATAAATATCAACCAGTAGCATTTGAGCAGGGCTCTATAGACCATGCATTTGGCTAAGTGATTTTCATGTAAATGGAAGACACAAAATATTTCATATGATCCAAGTCACATTGTACAGGTTTTAATCTATCTCATTCAATTTTCAGCATCTCCAAAGATTTTTGTTTATATTTGCCAATTTACATCTCCAAAAATTAAAAATTACAGTGGTTGATTTATTTCAAATCAGAAATCAAGAAATGGATTTTGTGGGACTTGAGACCCTGTTTACCTATGTCTGTAAAAATCACAAAACTGGATCTTTTGCTTGTGCCCAGAAAGTCAAATTTTGCATGGGGATAAGTGGCTTGACATGGAGGAGTTAGCATCCTCAAAATGCTGACTCCCCAAATGGTGGGAGAATGGTAATTTTTTAAAGGTAGGGAAGGCATATGAGGGAAATTTGGGGCTACATATTTCTAAAAATGTGTGGGTCATCCAAGCTACAGGAGTCAGGGTGCTTCATTTTCCAGCAGGGTGTTGGCTCAGCCCAGCAAATATTTTCTCTGATGCCACATATCAGCCTCAGTGGGACACAGGGAAAATTCATTAGGGTTATAAAATTATCAGCCTTTTCAACTTATCTAGAATACAGGTGAAGCAAATTAACAATCACAAGAAGGGAGAAGAGGGACTACATCTGGAGTGAGTTAATGGTAAATTATAAGGAAAGTATAAGGGGAAGTGAGTAGTTAGAACACAATTGTTTATTCCTAATCATTAGCATTATTTTTGCCAACAGAAGATTTTGTTGCAGAATTGAGGGGATCTGGCTACATTCCCACTGTTCATGAGTTGCTACCAAATACTATTGCTTTGAGCCTCAGTTCATGTTCCACCCTTGCTTCTCAATCCGTTTAGCTGAAATGATATTTCTCTTCATGCATTCAATGAGTGCCTCTAAAAAGGATCATTCATGCATTAAAGACAGTGGTGCTTATTATTATTTAACTCAGTTTCTCTATAACTTTAAGGATTGTCTACTTCTGTTTTCTGCAGTCGAATATACTCAACTCACTTTCTTCCTACTTCAAAGTTTCGCTGCTCTCTTACAGACCATTGATTCAGGCTTTAGTTTCTAGTTATACTCATTTTTTGATCATCACAAATAATGTATGTTTATCACATATATGCATGCATACACACAAATACATGCACATACACACATAGTATATTTATCTATCTATCTATATCTATTTATCTAGATATTTCGCAAATATCAATATCTCTCCAGACCAGACTGACTGTACTTCAGAACTGTAGACAAACACTCACACAAGCTTGACAACTACATTTATCACTTAGTTGGAATCTCAAACATAACCCTAAAGAGATCCCATTATTTCCAAGCTTTCGTTAACCAAAAGGTAGAATCTTGATTCTTGTTGCTCCTCATCCTCTTCTTCTAGTCCATTAACAGATTCTATGGATTCTATCTCAACCTAGTTGCTTTGTTCTAGTCCAAGCCACCTTTGGGAAGAAGCTGAACACTTTTAATATTTTAGATCTATAAAACTGAGAAATAACTCACATGAGAGATCAACAAAAGACAAACTTTAACAACATGAACAAGAGGCACATAATAAATAATTAGAACTGCCATCTGAGCAGATCATGTCAGAGGCTATATAGTTCTAGAAAGAGAGTTACAGGGGTACAGTGGGTTAAAGCACAGCACTAAAAAGCTAAAAAGCCACTTCAGCATGAGTTAGATCCCTGCCAGCCCCTCCTCTCACCCCCCCTCCCCCAAGATAATCCACATGGTGCAGTAGACCTCTCCTGATCTCCTGCTGCTCCCCTCAACAATAGACTTTGACAGTCAGCCTCTGCTGCTCCCCACTCTGTCTCTGGTGAATCTTCTCACTGCCCCTGCACCTTTGGCCTATACCCCAGTTCTGTATGCACAGATAAGTAAATCTTAAAACACACATACAAAAGGAAAGAATGAGCAACACATTTAGGAGGGAAAGACAGCACAAAGAAATTTGTAGCTGAAAGAAAAATATATTTTTAGGGATTATCTGCATATGCAGGAAAAACAGATCTTAGCAGTCCTAACCTAGGGTGATAAAGCTACAGGCTTTCTCTCACTTCCTGGAACCCCACAGAGTTTTATTTCCTAGTTTTAGGAGGATCAGAAGTTAACCAAAAAACATCCTTCTTAGATCTTTTGTCTTGTAATTCCTTTCAATTCAGAACAATCAGCATGCCACATAGACACATCCTGGCACAGACTGTGTGTGAACCAACACTACTGGCAAGAAATATGAAACATTCTGAAGTCATTTGAATCTGACCATTTTGCAGGTTTTGTCCCCAGGCACTTCCAGATATGCCAGGACACATGCAAACTTTTCCAGTCATCTTCACTTCTAGGAAGAGGCTGAAGCAAACCATGAGCCAATCATTGCCCAAGATTGAAGCTTCACCAATCATCACCTGATGAACTCTCCATAAATAGAACTGTATTGACAGAATCCACCAATAGCACTGTATTGACAGAAAATACAACTTGTATAAAAAGCGATACTTATTATTTTTTTTTAATAAAACAGACCTCAATATAAATGAGTCCATCTTACTGTGTTTATTAGCTCTCTCCACCATAAGCAACTAGGGCATAGAGCTGGAGTGTTTCTTGAGACCATGTTCCCAGGGCTGCCTTCTTATTAATGTACCAAATACTTGTATTTTGTTTCATTCATGTCTCTTTTGTCTTAGGATGACATCACCATCACCAATTCTCTGACTTCTACAATGGGTCCTAATTATTCTCCTCATCTTTACCGTCCATTGGGTAGGTGATTTTTTTTTTTTTCTTAAAGGCAAATCACAGTCTTACTCACATGTTTAGAACTCCTTAAAGGCAAATCACAGTCTTACTCACATGTTTAGAACTCAAATAAGATTTTAATTAGTATCTGACTAACTACTCCTAAAATGAAAGTCTTAGTAAACTATCTAACGTAATTTTTTAAATTAAAATTTATTTTTTATGCCTATAAGAACATGGGTATAGGGCAGACGTGTGGGGGGAGTGGCATATGAGAGGATTCACCAGAGACAGAGTGGGGAGAAGAAGGGAAAGATCAACTGAAATACACTGCTAAGGGGAGCAATAGGCAAGACAGCAGATGTCTGCTGTGCCATGTGGGTCAGCTCCCTGGCTGGATATTGAACTTAGGCCACAGTGGCTGGCAAAAGCTTGATAGCAAAAAAGCCCTGTGCCATCAGGAAGGCCTATCATTCTATTACAATGCATGTTTAGTATCTCAACCACAGAATCCAATTGGGGTTAAGACTGAGAAGAGGGAAGGAAAGGTGAGAGAAGAAAAGGGTTGCTGGTAGTGGGTGATGGTCAAAGGCAGGCGAGGTCCTGAGTTTCATGTGGGCAGCTGGAAGCAGAAAGATTCCAAAGGCTGGACCACAACTCTTGGTCAAGTCAATGAACTTGCTATTTTACACATTTGAGCCAGCAGAAGGCTAGTGGAGTTCAGATGAGTGATGAGAGAGCCCAGGATGGCACTTAGAGGCCTGTTGAAATCAATAAGCCCAGGGAGTGAGAGTTTCATGTTTCTCCAGCAACCCCACAGGTCATGTTGTCTGGAAGTTAATGGTCTAAGGAATGAGAATGAGAGCTAAGGGATTAATTGTGTGACTCTTCATTAACCCAAGAAAACACAGCAAGACACATTTGTCTTCCACACAAAATCATACAAAATTCTCTTTATTAAATATACATTATTTACAGTTTAAGTCTTTCTTCTGTACAACAGTAACCATAGAAAACAAAGAAATCTAAGGCTAACTTTTATTTTTCCCCTTATGGTGTATTAAGACATGTTACATGGTCTACAAAACTGACTTGGAACGAGGCAACATCACTTGGGATTTTGTTGTGGAAACAAAAATGAGAAGTTTAAAAAGAAAACCTGGAACTCTGGCAAATCTACAAATAGAGATGGCCTGTTTTGTGCTTTTGCCACAATAAAGAGCCAGCTAAAGAAATATATTGGGGATGCTATTTTGCCTTGTACTGTTTATTTGTTAAAAATAATCTCCATATTCCTCATCACTCTTCAAAAAGGAGGACCACTCCTGCCAGAGGGATACTGATTTCCCATTTGAAATGATCAGAAAACTAAAGCCCATGGACAAAAATCTGACTTGTTGCTTATTTTGAAAAACAAAAGTTTATTGAAACACAGGCTTACCCAGTTGGCTCCCATCTGCTACAACATTAGAGGTGAATAGTTGCAACAGTATTGGCCAACTGAGGCTTTATAGAAAAGATTGCTGACTCCTTACCTATCACATCCTAGAGGCAGGCACTTCCATTCACAAGTACACCTCTTATGACCTTTTTGCCTCTTCCAGTTGACTGAGCAAAGTGGCACCCTAAGACAGCATAGGATATCAGGAGGCTTGTCAACTACCAGCTACAGAAGAAGAAAATGTTGGTACTGGATCTCACTCAATACAATGTTCCTATCACAATTTAACTGCTGCTTTCAGCAAGGTTTGGTATTTTTTGCACGAGTATTTAAGGCAGGACAAGGTTACACAGTTTGACACTGCCATCAAAGAAGAGAGACTATGTTGGTATCTTTACAAAACCGTTGGGACAAGGTTGACTATAATGGAGAAGTATGACTAGGTAGATACTCATTATTTATTAAGGTCCCCTTACAAGTCTCTACTTATGGGCCTTCCAAAGTGTCTGCAGGGTGATACAGTGCTTCTTTGTACACCCAGAACAGTTATCATGTCCTCTGAGGCTATTGCTGGCATCTGAGGAAAGGAAGAATATAATGAGAGTGAAAATAACACCAGGATTTACTCACTAAATGAATTAATTTCACCTTCAGTCATGGCCTAATCTACACTCCTAATTTTCCCTGTTGTTTTGTAAATGGGTCTGTGTTGCTGATCTGGGAAAGATGAATAAAAGTGATTCCCAGTGCTGTCAGATGAAGGGTACCTGGCAGTGGTCATGGATGGAGACTCCCATGCCTCCTTATCATATGGCATTTCAATGGACCCAAGACCAAAGAAGGTAAAAGGGAAGCCATAGACAGATACCAGAACCTCATAATTCTAGATATTTGGGGTCCTGTTCAGGATATCAAGGATATCAGGCCTAAGGACCTTTCTAACAGTGTTTTTTTTTGTTTTTTTTTTTTTTGTTTGTTTGTTTTTTGTTTTTTTCTCCCATATAGCATTTTCTGGGTGTTCAACTTGGGCAGGTTAGATTGTTTTGGTGATATCTCTAAAGCATCCTGGGAAAGTCTTGATGAAATTAAAAAAAAAAAATCAAAGGATGTTATTAGGGGAGAAAGGGGGAAGGTAAAAATGTCATGCAGAGTGAGGTAATGAATTGAAAAGTGCAGGATATTGTCTCTTTCTTTACCGTATAAGAAGATGATCAAAAATTTACGAGAGACTCCTGAGTTAGGAGCCAGGAAGTGGCAAGAGTAACAGCCACTGATCCATTGTGGAAGTAATAAACTTGTCACCTGGGCTGGCCCAGTATGTTGCCAGGTGTTTCCTCTGCCTCTTCAACCTGTTCCCAACAGGTGTGGTCAAGATATCAAAACCAACTTTTGTCTTAATCCTTGCTCATATCCACTGTCAATTTGTAGACAATAAACAATACAAAAGACAGACAACTAGTTTACAAAGTACAATATTTCACTAAAAAATGTGCTTTTCTGTTCATCCTCAGAGTACCTTAGTGCAAAATAAAGAGAAATATCACTCAAAAATAGCAAACTAGTTAAAGATCAAAACCTTATATTAAATAATTGTCAAATCAAAAGGGAATGTGTCTTTTCCTACCATACAGATAAGATGCAAAATTTTCTGGAAAAAGCTAGAATGAATAACAGCCCTATTTTTACAAAGTGTCTGTATATGTTTACACTTATTTTTTTCCCCCTTTAGGGGATTCAATTGTATAGAATTTGTGAAAGCAGTGATAAAAACTTTGGAGAACGAGAAATCTGCAAACTAGCTGACTTAACAGGTAGGAATTAGAGTGTAAGAATGAGAGGAGAGCTTCAGAAAGACCCAAGAGAAGAATATGGAAGTGATGCAATTACAAAATGTGTCTGTTACAAAAACAAAACAAAACAAAAAAAAATTCAAACTGCATGAGAGACATAAAATAGCAGTAAGTTATCCTTCAAATATCAAATATTCTGGAAGTTTGGAGTTTCCTAGCATCTTCTTCCATTAACCACCTTTGTCTCTTTACAGATGAGGAAAGCTTCTCGATTTATTGGTCAACTGATCACTAATTTGTCCTGACCTTTACATTAAGGAAAAATCAGTAGCGAATCTATATGCTGTTCCTCAAATCCCCGTTGGCAGGCTGAGTTACATGCGAATTTGATAGATAATAGATATGGGGTGTTGTCAGGATGCCAACACATTTGGGGGACAACCCATCAATGCTGTTTATCAGAAAGAATTTAATATTCTGACTCCCTTCTCTTTGAATATCTTAGAGAACACACTTCACTTCTAACTGCCTAATATGGCTCTTCTAACTACAGAGAGATGTGTGACTTTAATGATTTGAAGATTTCAGCCAGCACACAAGATGAGACCTCATTTAGATGGACAACAACTTTTGGTCAATTATTTATTCAAAGATATACTTTATCTAAATGATCTTCCTCAGTAGAGTAAAAATGTTTCATTACAACTGGAGGTTTTGAGGAGAAGCTAGAATACAATAAAGGTAACTTAAAGAGCATCTGCAAGAACAATGACATGCAACAGGTCATAAAAATATGCCTCCCCAATCATAGATTAGGGGAGTAGAAGTAGAAATTACTCTTTCTTTCCCAAGTCAGGTCCCAAGTCATCATTTTGTTCTGACTGATGGGAAAGACTTTCAGAACCCTGCAACCAGAGTGAAACAAAAATGGAGGACATTCAGATTCCCAAAAATTACTTCAGAGATAGAGACCACTGATCTTTCTGCCCCTGAAGAGTCATTTGTCTCCCTCTATGAATTCTATCTGCACTGATAGAAATTTACTATGAAAAGGAGATGCAAAGCGGCTTATTAAATGTGGAAGAAATAAGCAAGAAACAATATAAAATTATTTACAGAAATGCATATCTTTAGCAAGGAACACCTAAAATAAGCCATGTAGGTCCTTTGCTCTATATCCTATAGAAGTTTATTCATACATTCGTTACATATTAATACGTCTCCCTTGCTAGAAGGAGTCCCTCCAGGACAAGAACATGTGGTCATTTGTATTTGTATGCCCAAGAGCTAGCACACCTGATAGAGTACTGGCATTAAATTAACTCATTGTGTTGTGTAAAGAAAGAAGACAACAATTTATTTTGCTCTGATCCTGTTCCCTTTACCCTGTGGTGTTCATGGATCTAACAAGAAATATAATTAGGCTAGTGCCATCTCTGTTATTACTAAAGAGAACAAAAGCAGTTAAAACATCAACCCAGGATACTTAAAATAAATATCTCATATACAGTTGAGAGTGGATAGAAGAGGCTAAGAAATTCATAAAGATCTATCTAGTGAAGAGACTCAATGGCTAATTCTCTAGACAATTTCTCATAGAAACCACCGCAATCTAACCTATACACACAATGAATGATTCAGCAGGATGCTAGATATGCTTTAGGGCAAGCAAATGCACTGTTCTTTGTATAAATAGATTTGTTTGGTGGAAATGATATCAATGAAACAGTTCCCTTTGAATGTGAAATTGCACAGGGATTTTTGGTTTTATTGTAAAGTGACCACATTCCATAAAATATTTGTGTAAACAGCAGTTACCAAAGACTGAGTGTTCAAGTAGAGGATACTGGAGGTCCAGTTGGCCCGAACTTGCAGTCAGGAGACCTGATCACTGAAGTAGTAAGTAGTGGTTGAGAAGGGGTTAGAATGTTTTTAAAGAGCATGCATTTTAGAATATAACTGTTCAATGACTGAAGCACTCACACAATCGAACGATTGCACAAACTATGTGGATTTTGGTACCACTGAGGAAAGAGTCTGAGTCAGCACTTATTTATAAAAGAAAATTCTGTTTTGTTCAGGATGGAGCAATTTCCATTTTATATATATATATATAGATTGTGATCTGTATTCTCTGGGGGGTGTAACTCAACCCTGTAAAAAATCATCTGACTTAGCCCTGAGACTACTTGTTAGAGAGAGATGCGGCTCGCACTGTCTTGGCATTGGTCGTTAAGTCTGTGGCAATGAATATATCTGGATAGATCAAGGACACATGGAGGCTTGTCTGCTGGTGGATTCTATAGTGCAAATGTGACCAGCATGAAGCCTCACAAATTCTTTACCTTACAGAATTACCTACAAGTATCGCTAAGTAGATGAGAGGAACAAATATGAGTTGGCCTTTGTTAGTCTTCCATTTCTTCTATCAGCTCTGTGTCAGCAAAATACAGTCCTCACTTCCCAGAGACTTGAATGATAGAGCGGTCCAGCTTTATTATGCACACTTTCCTTTTCCTTTCTATTTCTTTACTGGAGCTGCTTCAGGCTAAACGCACTGTACTTCATGGAAACTTTTATTTCAGGAGACAAAGAACTATGTAGTCGAATAAAAGCCTGATTTATACAGTCTTTTATGGAAATAGAAAATTCAAAAGTGAAAATTGGATATAGGAGAGGATGGGGCGGAGGAAACAGTATTTACAGATCTTCCTTTTATTAATGGATCAAATCATCTTCTAGAAGAAAAAAAAAAGAAAAAAAATCCCCTTATACTAAATTAAATTTACTAGAAAAGCAATATAATGGAAATGAGGGAATAAAGAAGAAACCACAGAAATTTTTAAGGAGAGAAGTATGTATTTATGTAGCATCTGAATACTGAGAAATCTATTCCCTATCTAAACCCTTATGTCATGTGCACTAACATTGAAGAGAAAGCCTGAAATGGACATGAAATTGGATGAAGCTAACAGATTCCTCACTGTGAGCTGCATGCAGCAAAGTGTTAAGTAATTGTAGGTGATAATTAAATTAAGAACAAGATGAAATATCTGCTAAGTGTCAAGGCTGGGGATCAGCAATGTGGTCATTGTTTTCCAAATTGGAATTTGTCCTAAAAAGAGAATCAGCATGTGTGTCCCACCTGTGTGGATCATTATATTGACATTTCCAGCAGAAGACAGGAGCAATTATATTGCATTCCCTTCTTTTTTTCTCCAAGATGGCCCAGAGGCAGAGGCAGACATATTAGTATAGCTAATCATCAGGATGCTCACTACCATCTCTGGAGGAACTCAAAATGCCTTCTTGACAGAATTGCTGTTTCACCCATGCTTTGTTACCCAAAGGAGCCACAACTGAAATTTGCCACAGCCTCATCTGGGAGTTATGTCTGCAACATGTTGGATTCAATAGAAGCCATTATACATAGGAGGTGACCAATTTGAAAATGCAGTGTGCTATGGAACCCAGTTTTCTTCTGTCACCAAAAAGTGAAGGACTGCTGAAGCTAAACACAATATCTCAAAGGTCAGTGCTTCCTATAGCTCATAGAAAATGGCTTACTGGACACAGGTGGATTATTATACCTAGTTGAAAATCGAAATCTGCATTCACTTTCTTCACCAGATTGCTAGGGAACAGATGAAAGGAAAAAATTCCCTTCTTCATGCAGTTTTTGTTTTATTTATTTATTTATTCATTCATTCATTTTTCTTTTACTGAGTTAAGAACCACTGGAATTATTTCATGGAACTGAGTACTACTTTAGATTTTTATTTGGATTTTTTTTTAAGCTGCAGCAACATATATAGATAGATAGATAAATAGATATACCTCAATATAATAATCCCAAGAATAACCTAGCTAACTTTCCTTGCAAAATGAGGAGAGGCATTTTTGAAGTTATAGAATATCTACTTCCTAGCAGCTTTCCTTTTACCTCCTAATTTTGAGCTACTATTTTCCATGCGTCCCCTAGGTTTATGCTATTGTGTGCATTCTAAGGTCCTAGACCCTGGAGCAAGTGGTAAACAAGGAGCAAGAAATAGATCACACTGCCATCAAAAAAAAATGTTATACTTGGAAATATTCAGGGGATAAGAGCTGTTGTGTAAAAGGGTGGTGAGTGAGGACAATGGACATCTTGTGGTTAGGAAAATTAACTCAAAACAAACCTCTCTTGTTTCTTTTAAAATGCCCTGAAGCAGCCAGGTTCTAGCATCTCCTCTCTCTACCCTGAGTTCCCTGGTAGAAATAGACTTGAGGTGGGGAAAGATGTCAGGGACTACTGCTTAAGTCACAGAGCACACATTCAAAATCAGCCTGCTAGACTACATGGCTGTGAAAGTGAAGAGTGTGCATTTTTGAAACTGGAACTACAGAACTAAATATGCACATGTGCATATATGTGTCTCTTTCTTGTATACAGTAGTAAGATTAGTTTCTTGAGTGGTTGTTATCACCATGATAGTTTTATCAAATTGTACAGCAGTGGCTGTAGCTGCCTGGTCTTCTGGGCTGAGTCAAGTGGGCTGTGGTGGACACAGGTACATTCCAAAAATAAGTGTCAAACAAGTAAGAGAAAGAGAATGACCAAAACCAAAAGGCAAGAGAAAGGAGGAGGAGAAAAATTTAACATAATGAAGATTTGTTAGGCGACCCTGCAGTTTTTCAGATGAAATATTCCCGCTTACACTCGCTCACTGTGTTTTGCAAGTCAATGTCATTTCGAAAGGAACTGTCCAAATTTTCTGGATATTCTTTCTCCTTCATCTGGTTAGAGCGGTGTGACTGCTTATGCTGGTACAGGAACCGGGTCATGATGCCGATGATAGAAAAGATAATGAATATCACCACTGCTATTACTCCTGTTGAGAAAGGGAAAAGAGAGAGAAGGAAATTATCACAGATCATCTGCTCCAGGACGATGATTTGGTCTAGACAAGGAAGACACTTAGGAAAACAAAACAAATAAGCAGCAACAGACTATGAGTGTCCAGAAATAAAGACTAGTTGAAATATCTTCACTGACTAAAGTCCTTCTTTTTCAGAGTAGCTGGGGGAAATTTTAAATTAGAGAAGGTTGAAGTGTGTGTTTGTGTGTGTGTGTGTGTGTGTGTGTGTGTGTGTGTGTGTGTGTAGATTAGCAACACCATCAACTCCTGAGAGGTGACCATGGGTTGGGTCTGAGGGTTCCCAGGGGGAATAGGGTAGAGATGCACAATGGACTGTTGGGGGTGGTAGACTGTCGTTGTTTTGCTGCCAGGGGAGGGGCTATAGTAACTAAATCTGAGGGGGGGTGGATCATACACTGTCAAAAACACACGAGTTTAAAACAATGGCACTTCAATTAAATTATTAAATTTAATTATTAAATTAGTATAGGTTAAACTGAAAATAACAAAAAGAATGGCATCCTATATAGGTGGAATCAGAGTAACAGGATTTCTGAGTAAATTTAAGATCTGCTTTAAGAATGTATCAGCATCATTTGTAATTAGCACATTTGTTTGTCACCTTGCCAGTAAGTGTTTAGAAACAACTTCAGTTCTTAGAGGACAATATTTAACCATATCATATTCTGATACATGCTGCCCTGATGTTACTCTGTGGCATAACTTTGCTATCCTAAAAAAAATTTAATGAAATGCTTACCAAACATTTAGGGCCTGCATTGCTCTACACTCAGCAAGACACAGACTAGCTCAGAGCTCCTATCTACCTGTCCTCCAGAAACTTAGGGGAATTAATCCAAATGTTTGCCCAATTGTGTCCATCTACTTTGTTTATATGTGGTTTAACTGGGTCAACTTGGAAAGATGTGCTCTCTGGCTCTAAGGTCTTGTCCCTATCTTTGCCAGGAAGCCCCTTGAGACAGAAAAAACAAGTTCAGCCAAAAAAAGGTAAAAAATATGCAGATTACAGACGTTTAAAGGGAGGATATATCTGTACATGAAGGTAGATATCTCAATATTAAAATATTTGAATAGCATTCATGATATTCGAAGATAGACTAATTATTAAAAAAACTATTACATTGTTTTCTTTATGAGTAGAATGAATATTGAGCAGAAATATTTATTTGAGGAAGATATTTTTGTTAACCCTGAGTTATGATATATATAAGCATGGACATTTGATAATTAAACTATTGCAAGTGTGTCTTCTACCAATTTGTAACAGAAATGGGGCTACAATTAGGATGTGTACCATTTTTTAAAATATTCTTTCATTATATGAGCTGTCCCCAACTATTTTAGAAAATGGCAGAGTCAAAATACTTAAATTAACAGATATATAAATAACCTGGGTGCTAGTGAGTGGTTCCAGAAAGTTCTGCAGCTATGTGATCTGAAAGACAGAACCTGCTTCCACTCCTTCAGAACATGCAGTGTTCAGAGTGAGAGGCTACACACAGATCCAGAATTTTCCCTTGGGGTTGAGATGACCCTCTTGCCCCTACAGACTGTCAAAAATGTGTACATAGGTAGGAAAAAGTCATCACAGAAGTCTATACTCCACTTATCAAATTATAGGAAAAGAAAAAGGTACAAAATTCTATCCCACACATCATGATACAAAAAGTAAAAAAAAAAAAAAAAAAAAAAAAAAAAAAAAGAAAGAAAAAGAAAGCTGGACTCTTTTTTCCCTGAAGCAGAAATTGAGGTCAGAGGTTTTAAGGACTTCCTTTAAGAAAGGCCGTGGCCTTCGTCCCTTATAATCTTATTGTGATGTAGCACCTCTGTGCCCCCAGAATATTTGTACTCTCCCTTCAAAACACCATCACTGGTTCCATGGTTATCTGTTTATCCATACCTGCCCTTCCAGGCCATGGTTTCTTTGAGGGCAGTGTCTGTATCTTTCACTCCCATAGTCCTATATTTAGCACAGGGCCTGACCCATTGCTGGGTCTCGTTAAATAGAAGTTCAATGAATGAATCCTGCCAACTTTTAAAAGGAGAACTCCATCTGTTGTGGATCAGTTCATCTAGCCTGCCAGAAGGCAGGGATGAGGTACCTGCTAGGGCTACAGTTCTCAAATGGAAATGAATTTAGTCTCTCATAGGCATCTTCCATTAAACAAGGTCTGGGAGTCATTCTGCGTTCAAGACCCAGATGGAAACTTCAAGCTACAGGAGGCAGAAGCCAAGCTGAGGCAGAATAAAAAGGGCGAGGCTGGCAGGCAGTGAAAAAATGGAAAAGCAAGGGAGGTAGGAGGGAGGGCTGAGTTGACAGCAGAGCAGACAAGATCTGCCTCTGTGACCATATGTGCTGCTGGGTCTGAAACTGTAGTCCTGTGGGTTTCATCCTGCTCATTAGATCTAGCCCAAATCACTTGGTGGAGAAAACCCGACAGGACTGTGGCTTCGCCCATATGTCTACCCCACCATGACTTCTTCCCCATATGTAGTTTTACGGCTTTGCTTTGTTTGTACTTTAAGAAAACTGACAACTGGATGAGAGGAGCAGGATGCATGCTGTCTGTCTCCGAGTAAACACTCCAGCTGTTGATTCAGTGTGCAGCTGCCTGATGGATCAGGGGCGGGAAGCCTCCTTGGAGCTGTGTGAGCTAGAGGAGAAGGTAGCTTTAATCAAATGCCGCACATACCTGTTCTGGCAGAAGACTCTAATTTGCAGATCTAGCTTCAGTTTGGAACTGGATGGCCATAATTAAGGGAGGATTGAGATTGTCTTCTCTGAAGTACAGAATCAGTTTTTTTTTTTTTTTTTCCTGTTTCTAGTAACAAGAAATGGTTTACCTCCAATGACAGCTGAATCACTCCGAACTGCGTTGGTAAGTGGTTCTCGCTCATCTGTCTTTCCAAAGGGATCTAAGAAGAGTAGAAGATATGAAACTTTACTTTTAACTCAGAGCATTGGAAGGAAATCGATGATATGGAGTTAAGATGATTGCATCTCAGACCAGGTACTCTGAAGAAGCTGAGAGTTGGCATTTTCGAAGGAATCCAAGTAAATATATGTCAAAAAAGGGCCTTTTTTTGTTTGTTTGTTTTTTTGTCAAAGACGCCACTTACACACATAGTTCTATGACCCAGCAAAACTCTATGTAAGGTATAGTATCAGAGACTAAAAGAGATAATGATGTTACACTCCTCAAATCTGCCCTGACTGACAGCATGACCCTCAGCCTAAGCTTTGCTGGACAGTTTCTGTAGCTATTTTTATTTCAAACACCTATAGGAAGAGAAACAGGCTCTGATTTTTTCTTACATTTCATAAGTTTCTTTAGCTTAAAGAGTATTCTGAATCTATTGACAGGAAAGGATAAAAGTGATGGAGAACTGCTAACACCACAATGAGATACACAACTAGCAACAACAAATGCTGGCGAGGATGTGGAGAAAAAGGAACTCTCCTGCACTGTTGGTCCGGAATGCAAACTAGTACAACCATTATGGAAAACTGTTTGGAGGTTCCTCAAACTGCTAAACATGGAGCTTCCATATGACCCAGCATTCCCACTCTTAGGTATCTACCCAAAAGATACAAAAACACTGATTCACAAAGATACCTGCACCCCCATGTTTATTGCTGCTTTATTCACAATTGGAAAGACATGAAAACAGCCCAAATGCCCAAAAATGGATGACTGGATTAAAAAGATGTGGTACATACATATAATGGAATATTACTGAACAACCAAAAAACAAAAATAATAATAAACACATGTCTTTTGCAGCAACAAAGTGACATGGATGGAGCTGGAAAAGATCATGCTTAGTGAAATAAGCCATAAAGAAAAGGAAAAAAAATACTGGTACTGGATGGTTTCATTCACAGCAGGAATATAAGGGACCTGGCAAGAAAATAATAACAAAGAACAGCTATATACCAGCGATATTTTATGGGGGTAGAGAGGGGAATGGGGTCAAAAACAGTGGGGGCGGGGAAATGCACTGGACTATGGTGATGGCACACGGGTGACTGGATAATGGGAAGCACATGGAGATTACAATTGAGATGGGAAAATGTACAAAATGATGTAAAAATAATATTAAAAAAAAAAGTCTGGTGAATTGCATTCTCAGAGAAACCCTCACTGATGAGAGAGGGATGTTACTTTATAGACCCTGACGTATTATCATGTAGTTTGAAGGAAGATCGATCTTGGTTTGAATCCTTGCTCTGCTTGTGATATTGGTCCAGTAACACTAAACAGGATAAATTACTTAAAAACAATATTCAAGTATGTTGGGACCAATGATTCCCAAATGTATGTATGTTTATACTGCATAAATATTTTAGAACATAGAGCAGCTTTCATTATTATAGTACTATTTAATACTTAGGAAATGACTGCACCATAATTATTATTTTTCCCATTTCACAGATAAGGAAATTAGATCAGTGCCATTAAATAATTTGCCCAAAGTTCTACTATTCATCCATGGAAGATTCAGAATTCAAATTAATGTTGACCACCTTCCTCTTTCAGTTACTTTCCACTATGCTTCACTGCTGCCAGTGAAATACCAAGATTGGTGATGAGCAGGCATCAGCAAAACACTCCCTTTCTCTGTTCAAAATAATCAATCTGGTCATTAATTATCATGGCTGATCTTAAAAAAAATTCTAGGCACATTTAAAGCTATCCAGAACAATGGCAGCTAAATGAAGGTAGAAAAAGTATTTATAAAATGACAAACAAGAGTTATGGCTAATAGTGTTGTGAAACTTTCCCATCATTAAGGAAGGCTTATTTTAATCATATAGGTTATATTAGTTCAACAACTATCCTCCCTGACCCCTAAACTCTGCAACCCTCAGAGAAATAGATGGACTTGCATATGTGTGTGTGTGTGTTGGAAACCTACATGCATATGAATATATTATGTATAATATGTAATGTGAGCAAATAAGTATTTTATATTAACTATTGATCATATCACTAGTAGGATTATATTAAATTACATATAAATCACATATGAGAAACCCATTATTAACCTCCTGTAAACATACATGGTAAAAAAAAAAATCAGTCTGTAACCTAGAAGATTTTTGCACATCATTCCACTGGGGGCATTTTCTTGACTATACCTGATGAAGAATGCACTGTGGTCACTGCATTCACACCTGAGTCCATCATGGAGCCACAGCTGGATTCTGTCAAGGTCCCTTTAATGGCCACTGGTGCGATGGAGGCATGGCGCAGGGCTGCCTTCAGTGGCGCTATGTGGTTGTACTGTACTGAAGACAGGCATCCAGAGAAGCCCAAGGTATTTGCTTTAGCAACTTCAGAATCCAATGCAAGATTCTCTACAACAAGAAAGACAGAGTTCAAACTGTGCTCAATGTCCCCTTTAAATGTCAAAATTACAGAAGTCACCTTCCTATTCTTTGAATAAGGGTCATTTTCTTCCACTCTCCTATCTCTCTTCATCACCTTTTCCCAAACTTGCTCCCCACTGCAAGTTATCAATATACCCACTACATATAATAGAAATCTGCTCTAGGTATCTCTACTTTTAGATTATGTTTCAAACTTTTGAATTTTCATTCATGTAGTTTATGAACTGTGAATATGTCTCAATAAATCTGTTCTGCACCTTAGATGTTTTATAGTATTTCTATCAATATTCCTATCACCACTTATTTATGGATGACAGCGATTAGTTTAAGCTTACTGCAGTACAGATTAAAACATATCATTCAGAATGAGAGGAATAAAAAGTAGCAGAAAGAGTAGAAGTGAAATTAGTCTTTGAAGATGTGTGCACATTCAGTGTTTTAAGCTACCTTGAGAAAAGATCATTGATTTAAGATGTCCCCCTGCTTAGTTCTGTTCATGGAACTGATTGATAAGCCAGGATTTTCCATGGCAGCATTGATCCTCCTAAGGTAACTCCAAGTCTTTGTAAAGGGTGAAGGTGATAGAACATTGTCACTGGAGTCTTGGTGGGGTGTGAGCATATATGGTAATGTATATTTGCACTCCCCAAATAATAGTTATGTAAACAATTGGCAAAATTTATAAAATTAGAGGGAAAAAATATGATTCATGTTGACAATAAATGTCTCATTTTCCTCAAGATTTTGAATATTATCCAGTAATCTATTTTTAATGAGAATCCTTATTTTAATTATTATTTTAATATATTAAGTTTATAATCCTTCATTTTTGTACAATGTATGGTTTGCACAATTTATGGTGGTGAAATTTCTACCACCATTTCCCCAAGCACCATCACCATTGTCCCTTGTGCTCTTTCCACCCTTGTCCTGGTCCTTATCCCTCCTCTCCCTCTACAGAATATCACTGATCAATAGTGGTCTGATGATTTTTACTTTATTATAGACAATGAGAATCTTTTGATCAAGTTGCTGTGATGTTATTTACAAAAACTCCAGTGCATAAGGAACCAATATTTTTTTTTCCTTAAGACATACTATCTAGGTAATTCAAATAGTCATTTTATTTTGATAATCTTTTTATTTCCTAGAAGCTCCTCTTTACTAATATTAATCATAATTAATTTGATTCACAACAAATGAACTAAAAGTCTCCAAGGATCTTAAAGCAAGCATTGTGTGGCAACACTGAGAAAGATACATGGAATATGAAAGAAACTGAGAAATTAACTCCCATTAATAATTTTCCAGTTTTCAATTATTTACTATCTCCCTTCAATACTCACATAATTTACAAATGTATGACCACTCTATTGTTACAGAACAAAGAAAGAAACCATATTAAGACAATCACTAGATCATTGCAACAAATTACACAAAATTAAAAAGTTTAAACATTATAAAACAACACAAACATATTGTCTAACAACTCTTAGAAGACTAGAATTTCACTGCAGTAAAACCAAAGAAAATTAGGTATATCTATATCTATCTGTCTATCTATCTATCTATCTATCTATCTATCTATCTATCTATCTATCTATCTAATTTACATACATACACACTATACCATATATCACACACACACACACACACACACACACAAAGAGAGAGACCAGTATGCCTTTCTTCTAAAATATCTATGGGAAATTCAGTTTTTCTTTTCTAAGTCCTATAAATCACCCACACCCCTTCCCTTAAAGTTTTCTTACTCTATTATCAAATCGGTAATATTGCATTTATTTATGTCTTTCTTCCATAGTCACATTTACTCCTTTATCTCTTTTGCTTCATCCTTTTGTGTATAAGAATGTGTGTGATTACACTGGACCCATCATATTTTAAGGTCAGTTATCAGCAACATCAATTTCACTTGTAGGGTTAACTTCTCTTTGCCAGAGAGCTTAACATATTCACAGGTCCCAAAGAGTAGGACTTGGATTTCTTTGTGGTTCATTATTCCTACTATCCCATGTCATTTTTTTTTTTTTGAGGAGTTTCTAATACTAATAAATATGTGAAATGTCACACTTCTTCAAATGTGGGACAATGGGGTGAGGGAGGTAATCAATTATCCTAATAAATATTTCATAGAATTGGCACATATTTGTTATTTACTCATGAAGTGACAGCATTGCTTATTTTCCATTGTAAACATATAAAGCTATGTCCCATAAGAGTCCTCTTAGGGGCCCTCCCTGGTGGCACAGCAGGTTAAAGTAAAGCACTAAGAAGCTAATGCCACTTCAGCATGAGTTTGATCCCCACCCTGGGAGGTGACCCACATGGCTTGGCAGACCTCTCCTGACTCACCCACTGCTCTCCTCAGCAGTGTACTTTATCAGTCTGCCTGTTCTGCTCCCCACTCTGTCTCTAATGAATCCTCTCACCATCTCTGTGCCTCTGTCTGGCCTGTACCCCAGTTCTGTATGCATAAATAAATAAATCCTTAAAATAAATAAAAAATTCCTCTTAAATATTGCTACTCAATAGTTTTCTAGATCAGAAAGCTTTCACTAAGACTGGGTGCTATTTGCTGAGTTAAACCTAAATTCTGTGTACTGAATTATAATCCAAAATTCACATTTCCAATCGAATGGCTGTTATGGAAAAGTAGAGATTAGACATATTTTGCAGAAGAAACAAAAAAAACATGACAAAAGAAGCATACACTAGCATGCATTTTTGCATTGTAGGATTTCAAAGCAGTGGAAATTGACATGTCAATGTAGTTATGCCTTAAGTTGTAAGTCAAAAGTGCCAGCCCTCATTCCCAGAACTTCCTTAGAAATAAGTCTATATTGGTTTCAAGGTCTTTGAGGACATCACTATAGTGACTGCCATGAATAAAAGCTCCAGGTATAAGAATAGGCACAAGCATAAATTGGGGCAAATGCCAGAAAATGACATTTTCTCCTTAAAGGAAGAAATGTTTTGAATAAAGTCTTACCTCTAGGGTGTATTTATTCTAGATGTATAATAAGGATGGAAACCTTGGGATGTTTCTGAAAAGAAATGAAGAGAACAAGAATCCCTGATACCAGAAAATTCTCTCAGTGGGAGGCCTGACATAATGACTTCTCAGATTCTTACATATATGGAGAGGCAATAGGAAATATTATGATGGTCCCAAATCATTTTTGCTTCTTATATATTTGTTAAGCAGTCAGTTAAGGGGAATAAATGTTCACTTAAAAACATATAAATGAAACTATTAAATACACATGACCTACTGAATACCTACTATATAGCTAAGCAATGATTTTATTTTAAACAATTGTTTATTTATTTATGTATGTATACAGAACTGAGGTGCAGCCAGAGGTACAGGGACAGTGAGATGATTCACCAGAGACAGAGTGGGGAGCAGAATAGGCAGACTGAAGAAGTACACTGCTGAGGGGAGCAGCGGGTGAAACAGGAGAGATCTGACATGCCATGTGTGTCACCTCTGGGCTGGGGATCGAACTCACACTGAAGCTGCTGCTTGCAGTGCTGCATCCTAACCCATTGTGCCACCAAGGAGGGCCCCTCTTTTTTCATATTTTTGAGTAGAAGAACTCAGGGGTAGGCTAAGGTGAGGGGGTTGAAAGGATTCAGCAGAGACAGAGTAGGGAGAGGGTGGGGAGGTTACTGAAATGCACTGCAGAGATAAAGAGCAAGGAAGTCAGGAGAGGTCTCTGAATTATATGTGGTTAGTTTCCCAATTGTAGCTAGTTCCCTGACTGTAGTTAGTTCCCTGACTGTAGTGATAACAACACTAAGACTTAACTTCTAGGCTATCAGGGAGGCCCTGAAATATAGCACTCTACCCAGAAATGCTATTTTAGAGGTACTATGGGTGATGAAGAAAGCAGATTAGACGCTAGATAGACGTGGGTTGATAATTTACTTATATATGTAACTTCTATTTGACTACTTATTAACTTCATCATAAGAACAACAACAACAACAACAAATTATGGACATGTTCCAGAAATAAGCAAATTCTGGTCACATAAATTGTGCTTGAAATAAATATAATAATATACTTCTCAACTTACTGCTCTTAAGTACATTTGTTATTATGGTTGTTTACTTTTCCTGTATTGATCCAAGGAGTTCCACATTCCTCTATCCTGATTCAATGACCCTCAACATGCCCAACAATACTGCATTTATAGAAAATAATTAAGATATAAATGCTGATGTTCTTTTGTGAAGTCTTTCCTCTAAATTTCCACTTCACACTGACTACTGACTCACAACTGAACAAACGCAGTGCTCAAACTGAATGATTCAGATGAGCAAATGATTACAGATTAACTTCTTCAAGCATTTTAAAACTTGACTTTGTACATTAATTTGTGGGCATTTCTTTATCATAACAAAGATATGTCCCTCTATTAAACTAAGTGGATTCTATGATGCCAAGGGAAATTATTCACAATCAATTTTAGACCTGAAATGTGCAATAGTTCACAGAGTAACAATTGGTTCACACTAAGAGGGTGATAGAGACAATTCAGGCTAATTTTATTCAGGCAGTGTCTTGTGGATTTGAAAAAGAAGAAGAAAACATCAGCATTGCTAAAAGCAGACTTTGCTTTAAGATGCAGCATGGCATTTACAGTATGTCAAAAGCCATTTATGACACTTGAATTCAAACTTGTCAAAATAAAAATCATGCGGACCAATAAAATTTGGCCACATTAAGATTAAAATGATGAGCCAACATAAAATACAGATAAAGGAAGCTGATGTTAATGGAATGTATGGGAAGTATACACAAAGAAAATTTCCCTCAATATTCTTTTGTGGCTTTCAGGTGAATCTGAAAATTTCACTATACAAGTGTCCAAAATCCAAAGTCCATGTCCTGATGATAAAGCCTTGAATTCTGAAGGAGGAATGTAAAACTGAATTAA